TGAGATGAAAATTATATATATATATATATATATATATATATATATATATATATATATAGTTTCAACTTGTTTCTTAACAAAAAGTTTAATCTCTGTTGGTCGTGGGCCAATATGTGTTTTGGAATAAATATGCATTTTGATTCAAAAGTTTTTATTTGTTTAATTTAGGAGAACTCTTTAGTTAAATTACTTATGTTATTCACGTTTAATTCATATTACAATGCACCCCTTGTTTCTCGAAGGGACATTTAATCCTTTTCGCTTTCATTATTAGCATGTGTTGCACGTTGTGAAATATTTATTGAATATTTATATTTTAAAAAACTGGATGTATTCGTCTAAAAAATCACATTAGACTGAATAAAATAGTCTCAAGTCACGAAATTTAACTCAAATTTTCTGTTAAATAATTGAATTCATTTCTCAAACAACTCGGACTCTTGATTTTTTTAAAAATTAAGAGTAGTAAACTCAAATATGAAACCTTTACTTGCTTTAATACTAAACAAAATCACATGGTCCGAAACCGTAAATTATTAAAGAATAAAGTAATTTATTCATTCATGTAAAGTTGTAAAGCTAGGTAAAGAACAACTTAGAAGCTGGGATTGAATATGTTGATCCAATTTTTCACGCTAAATAAATAAAAATTAAGTGTTGCAAATAAATCTAATTAATTATTACATTGTCAAGGTCTATTCACTGTTCTGTCATGACGGACTTATAAATAGACAATATTTTAACTATCAGAGTTAACAAATCGAAGAATTAATCTTTCAACAATAAACACAGACTAGCTACTAATAATATGCATGCGACATAACGTGATATACTTATAATGGAAACATTTACGAACATCCATATCACAAGGGATAGCAAAAAGAATAATGTTGCTCAACCCGGGATTTTGGAAACATTTACGAACATCTATATCACAAGGAATAGCAAAACGAATAATGCTGCTCAACCTTGAATAAAATCCCAGGTTTGGAGCCGCCACCTCAGCCCCTGACTTGAAATCCTTGGGTCCCATGTGCTACAACATCGAGGGTTGAGGTGGCGTGGATGTTAAAAGGAGCTTTGTAGCAAAAAACACAATCCACAGGAGACCCATGGGCCCCAATCCAAATGGACTGGGACGGGGCAAGAAACTTGGGTTCAAGGTAAGGACGTATATCAACTATCCCGTCATATTTAGTATTATTTAAAAACATAAATTTATAATTATAAAAAACAAAAAATATATATAATATTAAATTGGGAAAATGAATCGCCGCCTAAACCCTAACCGTCCTATTGTCATCCCTACATGCCACGGGTGAATAATTTATTGTGAAATAAAAAAATTCAAAATTGATTACAAATGACATTGACCACAATTATTCGGGGCTTGGAGAATTATACTGAGTCATGCACTAATTAAAGATCGAGATCCTTAATTGAATCAAATAACTTATTAAGCAAAAAAATGCAACATTTTGAAGCAATGTTATAAAAATTGAATCGGACCAGCCAGTTCAACCGAAAAACCCGAGAACCGGTCCATAATCCGATTCGATTGACACTAAGGGTGGTGTATTCAATTGGAACTTTTGAAGATTTTGATGATTTGTTTTTTTAAATGATGACTTTTGTGAATTTCGTGGATATTTTATAAATTTGTATAGAATTAGTTGAAGTCTTTCG